TCAGGATTATGTCGGTTTCTTGATCAAGAGGAGATGATGCTAAATTCACTAGTTTCTTCATATCGTTGAGTTGATCAGTATGTGTTATCACCTCGGAAACCACTTCAACTAGCCTCATTGGCTTTACCTTACGCTATCTTATAATACCAAACTTGAGCAATTTATTGTCCTTTAGTTTTGTTATTAATTCAGAGATCCTTGGTGATTTCCTGTCGGTCATACTCTGGAGTTCTTGAAATTCCTCCCGAGTCAGAATCCTGATCAGATAACGCCGGAGCTTTGGCTTAATATATATAAACTTAAATAGCTTATACCTCTCCGTATCATAAGTTTCGCTTAACTTATTAACAGAGGCCTGGTGGAGAAACTCATTACCCTTATACGAATGTTAGTCTCTCTTAAGGTCACAGGAATCAGGAGTGATACCATACCGCTTACAACAGTTAAAAAAATCAGATATCAAGATTGATTTACAATTGTATTCTTTGTCCGACTGCATTCAGTGTATTGTCTGGCCATATTACCACCGTAGTTTAATCGAAGATATAAAGACCAAGATAGTGTGATCCTCGGTATGGTCGCAGTCGCCTTTCGATGTATAGAGGTGGGTTGACCTAGTTTTCGTAACTTCGTTTTGTTGTCAGGGCGACTTAGTTGGACGCATTTTGTCTGAAGTCCTCTGCCATAGTAGTTATCATAATTCCCAGCGTCAGACCGAGGTTAAGGAATAGATAGATGGACTGAGACAGAAAGAGGAGTGATATCGTAACCGTTTTGGCGAAAAGTTTGGTTGGGGGTTTTCACTTTACTTGTCTCCTTGACGTGTTGTAGCTTGGTGCTGAGAATGGTAGGACCCACTGACGATGCCGCCTATTATGCCGGCGAAACTTCCGAGAATGTATCAAGTCCACGGTCTGACGTCGGGCGTTATGACAACTGTTATGGCAGAGAACTTCGGACAAGGTGCCTTCAACTAAGTCGCCCTGACAACAAGACCAAGTTGCAAAAACGAGGTCAACCCACGTCTGTACATCGAAAGGAGGCTGCTACCATACGGTGGGCCACACCATTTTGGTCTTCATATCTTTATTGATAGTTAAGCTATTCACCTAAATTGAATATTCGAGTCTATCGGTTCGCCTATCTATTTACCTATTATTGTCACCCTAGGCCATATAAGGTGAGAAAGAGCCGATTGTTAAATTTTCCAACAATCACATGTCTCCACTGCATTTTCACGTAGCCTTGCTTCCCCTTTTTGGTAAAATGCCGAAAATAAACGCAAAACTAGCCGTGTACGATTCCCATTCGGGGCTACTGATGAGACCCAGATGTTTTGGGGTGCAAGTTAATGCGAAAATGCAATGTAAACGGGAGGCCTTTGTAATGAGGTTATGGGAAAATGTAACTATCAATCCTTCATCTCTTTGGACCCAGGCGGGCTAGAAGGGCTGTTCGAGCAAAGACGTACGGCCCGCCACGAATGCAGACAGACGTCTGACGAATTTAGACGGCTGAGCTCTGTTCAGAACAGAGTAAGCAAAGTGAGCAAAGCTGAAGCAGGCTAATATTCAAATTTCGAGATTCGTACGCCGGAATTATCGGCCAGTAAAGGTCTGACTTGGATCGATAGTACAGGCCGCCCTGAATGGGCTAAGGCCGCAAGCTGTCTTTGGATCTGGCCCTTGAAGACAGCTTCCAGCCGTTATGCGGGCGTTCAGTCGGATTGCCGGAGCAATGTAATCTTCTCTGTAGTCTGGCTTTTGAGGCCTTCTGCTTAACTCGAAAGAGGTGAGGGGATTAGTCTCATCGGCGGGCTTGCCAATACGGCGTGATTGCGACAGGCTCTGCATGAAATGCGGGATTAAATTATAAAATGGCTCAGACTACTGTCAAGGCGGATGAAGTTAAGCTAAGATGAACTCTATCTATTGACGTGAGTAGTCAATCGACCTGACCGTAATCATTATTGCACAAAAAACGTGTCATCGGCTGAGAATATTTAATAATTGTGAAATGATAATATGCGTTTGAGGGATCGAGGTAACTGTTGGCTTCTGGCTTGGTGGATATCGTCTCATGGGCTTGTCAATTTAGTCTCCTGTTTGGTCACAGATAAGTGTAAGTTGAAAAAATCGATCATGCTAATCTATACAGTATAAATTACCTCGACTACACATGAACCATCTGTCTGGTCTAATTTCATGATAAAAAGCCTCTATGCCACTGTCGCCTATGGAAACTAGTTGGTAAATTTTGCCAGAGCGATGAACATACTAGAAGAAAGACACTTTACAAAACACCTGGTCGGCGCTCTGATGCTGAACGAACACACGACTGCCATCGCAAGCAACGCAATGCAATGAAGATAGGAGCCTTACTATTTCAATATTGAAAGACGTTATTAATGAGTGCTGCAGAAGACAGGTTTTCCGGTCTCATGATCAATACATTTACTGACTTGTAAACTCCATAAACAAGAAAAGTTATTGAGTAATTGATTCTATCGTAGTTTCAACTAAAAATGTCAGGAAGTAGCATTGCTAGGCGAATGGCTGGTATTGAGTCAGTCGAAAATGTTCTACAGCTGGCCAGATTTATTTTCAACTTGAAGCGACTCCACCAAATTTTTTCCAGCTTCATTAGCTCGCTTCGCTTAAATGGATCAGTACAATCTACCAGGTCAGTTCTTGGCTGGTTTTCTCGTCATTCATCCATTTAAGTTTGTTGTTAATCTTTTCTAAAACCTATTTGAGTCGCCATTCGCATGGATAGAAGAGGGACCAGAGAAACTAAGCAATAACTTCGAAAATCCATCGTTTTCAAATCCGAGAGGCTGAAAAAGTCGGTTTCAATAATTGCCTGAAACAGCTAGTTTGGAATAGTTGAACCTAGCAAAAAGTGCGACCATGTGAAGATGGCACTCTGCACCGAAGCACGTACCTACAAGGGGATGGCATAAAATGCCGGTGAATGGATTGTTACTATGGCGAACTGGAACTGAAATAACATTATCTGCATCTCGGAGAGCTAAGAGGAACTATTGTTTCTGATCCTTGCACAGTGACTG